TCGACCTTAGTTGCTCAAGCTCAGTCGCTGTGTAAGGTGGTGGTGGAACATACTGCTGTGCTTCGCTAATTCTGTCCCATGAATCATAGGGGGTATTATCTGCTGGCAAATCTATGACTAGTCTACCCTAAGCGTGGATAGCATGCAAAACCTCAGTTGGTACTGGTAATGGCATACCATAAACAAGTACTGGCATGGAATCAACCGATGTGAGCATAGCATGTCTATCTCCCTAGTCATCATCTGAATCGTCCGAATCATTGCTAACTACATCACCGATCCTATCCTCCTCCTCCTGCTCCTCCTCTTCTAGTTCGAATTCGTTCACATCAAAGTCATTGCTTATATAGCCTACTTGACTTGAATGAAACTGCTCCTGCGTCAACTGACCGTCTAAATCCATGTTACCCTGAGCTGCTTCCCCTTCGACCCCCAATTCTTGCTCATTGCCTGCAACATCATCAATGGACGGCCCGTCTAGAACACCCTGCATTCTGTAATCATTCTCCACCACCACCTCAGCCATGGGCACATTAGAACCTTGGAGCACCCTAATGTAGCGAGACCAGTGAGCAGGATCACGCAAGGGCGCCAGGACATAATGTGCCCTAGTCTTTTCAGTATCAAACCTCCCCTTCAGTGTGAAATCACCGCCAAACTTTGCATTCAAACGGACACAAAGGTTGTTGAAATTAGCAGGTTCATCAAATCATTCCAATTCTTCTTCCATATCCTCAAACATACCATCTTCTCTTGTAACACTTTCTCCGTAAAAAACTCTAACACAACAATCTATCTACAAAAGTATTTCAAGAAACTTCATCAAGTCGTCGAAATCGTGGTACGTACTATCTATAGTAATATTAATACCTATTCTAACTATAACTATACTAACTAATCTAATATTAACATCTATACAAGACTAACTACAACAATTAATTATACTAAATATAATGTATAACTAGACTCACTAAGTGCACTAACTAAATTAACTAACTTTACAGCTATACTAACTTACTATATTGCCTATACTAACTATACTAACTTTACTTATTGTACTAACTTACTATACTAACAATGTCGATTCAATAAATAAATACACTAGAGGAGTACCTCACGGCAGCGGCGCTCGTCCTCGCGGCAGTTGGGAGTGGTGTGTGTGTGGCAATGCAAAGGAGGGCGGCGGCGGCAAATGCGGGCGGATGAAAAGGTGGCGTGGCGCGCGCGTGACGTCTGCCACAATGAGCAAGCCGCCGTGCGTGGCCGGAGGGCTTGATGGCGGGCATATGGCGCGCAGCGTGCGTGCGTGGGGAAGCGAATGGGGCGGCGGGGCAGCGCGGCGTCTTGGCGTGCGTGGCAGCGTGGCGGCTGGCGGCGCGGCGGTGGCGCGTCACTGCCGTGCCATGATCGGTGGCGCGGCAGAGCCGGCCACGTCACCGGTCAACGGCCTGGTCGCTGCCACGTGGGCAGCCTCGCCGCGGCCCCATGCATAGCGCGGCAGCGTTAATTCGCTGCGCCATGCGAATAGTCACAGCCAAAAGTGTTAGATTTAAAAAAAAAAAAACAGCGTTAGGTTTAAAATTAGTTTAAAATGTGTTATAAATAAAAAAAATTCCCCTGCCGCACCACCAACAGATTCGCGCAAATCATGAAGGCTAGCGTACAGCGTTGTGGGCGTGCACGTAGACCTCCGTTTTTTTCTTGTGAAGTGTTGTGATCTGTGAAGCGAACGTATAATCCCGGATTCGGAGGCGGCAACTCGGCGCCTTTGACGGTTTAAACGGTTTTTAATGGATCTGTCCACCATCTAATCCTAAAGTCAAAATTAGAGTCCAATTTGATCTTATTCTCATATTAAGAACACAAATTTTAGATAGTGAATAAAAAATCTAGATTTTGGATAAGAAAATAAGGAGTTTTTGAACTTTATTCTCATAATGTTTGTCTTCAGTAGATAGTTAGATTCTAGAATTTTATTTTAGAATCCAGCATTTAGATCTTATTCTCACTTTTCTACCTCGTTTTATTATTTTTTTCTAGAAGAGTCCTATTCGGGCCTCATCCTAGCTTTGATTACTAGTTGGGGAGCTTTTTTACTCTATTGATATACGCTTGTCTAAAAACAAATTAATTCACAACTTACAAGGTTTAAAAATAAATTATTTCACAAGCAAAAAAGGCGTGCTTTGTGAATTAACCATAGCTGAGCTGGTTGGATTTCTCGTGATAGAACCTGTCCACCAAGGTTAAGTCTTCGATATGACACGGGTGCTCATATTTTCTTGGATTTATTTTAGGATTTAGCTGTGCTATTCTTTCGGTTGTAGGTGACATGTCCGTCGACGGCACAGCGCCTATGGTAATTTCGTTAATCTCTAGATTTGTCGGTCCAACTCAGTTCTTTGGAGATGACTATGCTCTCGTGTATATGAGCGTCTGTGTTTGTATTAGGTCTTGCAAAAAAATCTTGAATTTATTATAGGATTTAAAATTTTTGGAATTATTTCAGGATTTAACAGTGTTATTCTTTCAGTGGTATGCGATGTATCTGTCGATAGTGCAGCAGTGCAACTTAGTTTTTTGGAGACACTTATAGGAGTGGAGTGTGCGTGTGTTTGTGTTTATAAGGATAAATATGCGCTCATATATGAGCGTCTAGTCTCGAAAAAAGACATGTTCTTAGTAACAAGTGGTAAGAAAGGGATCATAAGCAAAAAAAAAGACATGTAATTCGATTGAGTGATAAGAAAGGGAATAATATCAAAATTTACTCTCTCTGTCTCGAAAAGAATGTCATTCTCAGTTCTCGAGAAATCACATATTTTTAACTTTGACCAATTATATATAAAAGAATATTAATAGTTATAATACTCCCTCCATCCTAAAATAAGTGTATATCTCGCACTTCGAGAAGTCAAACATTCATAAGTTTGAACTATAAGGTTTTAGATCTCTTCAAAGTATTACAGCTTTGGTTTTTGTTATTTTTCGTTCGAGCTCATTTAGAAAATTCAAAAAATATAAATTTCAAAATCCTTGTTCTTAAAACATAATTTTCAGGCCATAAATGATTTCAAAGGAATAACATTAAAATTATAGATCTTTTCAACTACTACAACTTTCATCTAAACTATTTCTCCATCCGAAATCATTTGAAAAATTCAAAAAAGATAATTTCAAATTATTTGTACTAGTGCCAGGTTAAATCGCCTGTTTAAATACATTCCAACTGAAAAGTCTTTTAAGCCTATCATGAGTAGAAATATGATTTACATTGGCGATAGGCTTAAGAGAATTGTCAATATAAATAGAAGATTTGTACTAGCGGCGGGCTTATGAAAACTGTTAGTAGCTAGAAATGTACTTACGCTGGCAGTTCATAGCCACGAGCGCACGGTTGGCGCTTGTTCTTTAAGAATCACGGGTAAAAAAAATCGCTAGAGTCGACAAAAAACGTTTCTATACTAGTGATGCATTCTTTGAACGAAGGGTTTATGTTCACCTTTAATAAATAGGGGTATACGAGTAGTTTTTATTGGGCACCAATCTATCCTAATAATTCTAAACATCAAGTTATTGGAAAAAAAAAGAATCAAGATTATCCTCAACAATATTGAGTCTAATAGGTGGTTTGGTCATTTCACAATCTTTCTACAAGTCGATAAGAGGTGGATTGCTGAATTGTTCAGAACGTAGCGCCCATATTGTTAAAAGCTTCGTATCCACAAATTCGAAGGTTAAACAAACATGCCCGGGCTGTGCCACGCGATACTGATGACCAATGTGGTCATATTACCACAACTTCGATATTAGAAAAAGAGAAACGATATATGTCAACAGGTTGTTTTTTGGGCCTCCATTAACTGAATTTTTGGCGTCCTGATCCACATGGAAAGCCCAATCTATCGTCCGACCTATCGCACATCTCCGACTCGCCTCTTCCTCCCCCGCCTCCGTCTCCGCGCCCCCCCCCCCCCGAGGCCACGACGGCGCACCCCAGACTTGCGACTCCATCCTCCACCACTGCGCCAGGGGCTGCGAGCCTGGGGCTCTGCTGCTTGCGCTGGGCCGAGCCCAGCCGACCATTGGGCACAGCCAGGGGACCCGCTGCCACCGCCCACCCAGCTGCGGAGGCAAGGAGCTACACAGGCAGCCTCCATGGCTGCACCAGGGCCCAGGCCAGACGGTCGGCAGACCCGTCGGCTCTCCGCGGGTGCCGCCGTCCTCGGTGCGTCGCTCTGCTTCCTCACCCTTTTCTGCCGCTCGAAGATGAGATTGCTCTTTGTTCTATGTTCTTCTCGGTACTCTGTCTTCCATCTGTAAAATTGTAAATTTGTGAACAATCTGATGATATTTGTGAATAATTTGACATATATTTCTCTGGTATCTGGATTCCATAGAAAAAAATTGTAATTTTTTTTGAAAATTTGGCATATATTTGTCTGAGATCTTGTGTTATTTCTAAATTACATCACTCTGTCCAATAAATTCCACCAAAGAAATCATTATAAATATAGTAATAAGGCAGTGTAAATGTAGCTAGATGACAGTGTAAGTGCATAAGAAAAATTCAGTTGATAGGAGGAGCCAAATCAACTTGATGTCACATAGACATGTCCAAAAACGCTACTCACACAGAACGAGAGATTCTATCCGTGCACCGTACGTGCTCACATCCGATCCAGGCGAGTTCCTCAAACGAGTTCAACGCCTTTGCATGCCATGATCCTGGGAGATTGCACGCACCTTAAGTTCAGGCGGTCAATCGTGTGATTATTGCGCGCACGTTGCTGGCATGTGGAGTTCATCAAGGAGCAGCATGCATGCTTAGATGCCAGGTTTTGTAACGTGAGGTCCTGCTCCTCGCCGATAACATATAAAACTTGGAGGCATTTGACCTTGACGCGTATATAAATTGGTCACGCCAGGATAGATGCTTGAGCTGCGCAACAGCAGGCAGGTATCGCCTGCACCTAGGAGTCAGAAGCAGGTCGAGCGCCATGGGGACAGGAGCCGGCCGCGTCTTCCTCCTCGCCTTGGTGCTGCTCTTCGCTCTGCAGACGACGCCGGCGTCGGCTGACAAGAAGGCAATGCATGATGCCATGATGCTTCCTTTGTTATCTCCTTTTTGCCTCCTCGTCATGTTCTTCGATATGCATACAGATACAGTGTTAATTAGTACTGATCTGATTTACATGCCTGCAGCCGTGTGTGATCTTCTTCAGTGCTTTCCCGGCCTCCCTTAATGCGCTGCTCGCTACAATCACCGATGAGTAAGATCAGATACTAGTATTACTGCGTTATTAACTCTTAGCTAGGCATCGTTGAGAAAGAAATGCGTGCTTATTAGCTACGGCACGAAATGCAGCTTCACGATCCTGCCGTACGACCTGCGGGCCATCAGTGGGGTCGCGCTGCAGATCGACGAGAGCTTCGTGCCGCTCCTCCGACGTATGTTTTGTCTGTCTCTGGTTCAACGATCCGACGGGTTTTACGAGCGAGTGAATGAATACATATATACTCCTCGGATCGGCGCTGATGCGTTTCGTCTTTGCTTTGGTTGATTGGTTCAGAGCTCCCCGGCGTGATAGCCGTGATCCCGGACACCCTGTACAAGCCCCACACCACGCACTCGTGGGACTTCCTCGGGCTCGCCGGCAACGGCGGCGAGATAACCCCCGCGTGGTCGTCTGCGAAGCTGGGCGTGGGCACCATCATCGGGGTCATCGACACAGGTAAGACTGATGCATCTGCTACTCCATGTTCTTCAACGTGAATAACGCACAGCTAATAACAGTAGGACGGATGGAGTCTGTGTGTGTGAATCAAGTATCCTAATAAAGGTCACTGGTACAGAACTGATTATCAAAGACGTTTGGTAACATCAACCGTCCGGGAAAGTACGGATGTAGGAGCGATTCTTGTACCAGCCGAAGTTGGAAAAAATTAGAGATGCGAGAGAGCCTTTGGGTTGGTAGTAGTAGTGTCGCTCAGTGCAGCGATATCCGCCCAAGCTTGATTTGTAAAGTTTAAGGGCCTAGATAATTACTTTGAGAGTTTATGAACGAAGATAATAAAAATGCGAAAAATGTCTGAGGGCCTATGGTATATTTCACTCGTCTGAGTCTTTATTACATGTTTGCCCGGTGCTTCAGCAGCTTTCACAAAATAGAAAAGAAAAATAAAGATACCTATAAAAAACATTTTTTAGTAGTTAGTGCTTGTGGTCTAGTGGTACATCATGAAAAAAAACGAAGGCAATGGGTGCTGACTTTATGTCGCATTGAGATGCACGGCAGAGTTTCGCTTGTACGCATTTCTTTCTTTAATTCTTCTAGTATAATTCCGCAAATCTCTTGCCGAACTTTTGAAGAAAAAAAAGAGATGCACGACAGATTTCGTGGCCATCTCTACAAGTACAATGATTGCTTCCGATCCGAACTACTAGTAATTAGAATCACATCCCAGCGATAGCGTCTCTAAAAAGTCAACTCGAACCTGACAAATCGTGGCTATGTTCGCTTGAGCTTATCGGTTAGAATTAGTCTTACTTTTTCAGCCATGGAACATTGTTTTTCTCTCACGACTAATCAGCCCAGCAAATCAGCTGCCGCACTAATAAGCCGTGCCGAACATGGCCGTAACAGCGGTCAGATATTGATTCTTGAGTAGTACAAGTACTTCGACAGTTACCGATCTGAAGCTGCTTGTGATATTGTGTTCGCTGCATGTACGACGAAGGCGTATGGCCGGAATCACAAAGCTTCCAAAACGATACCATGCCGGACGTCCCATTGGGCCGTTGGCGCGGCACCTGCGAGAAAGGCAACGACCCGACCTTCCAGTGCAACAGGTAGCGCGCGCGCCTGCAATGACTCGGACAAACAACTAGGCATAGACAGGGTCCCCGTGCTCCGGCAGGCCGGGGGGGGCCAACGTTATGCGTGTGAAAAAACTGACGCCGCCTCGTACCGGCGTACGTACACGCAGGAAGCTGATCGGCGCGAGGTTCTTCAGCGAGGGCATCCAGGCGTCGGGCGCCCTGGGCGACGGAGGAGGCCAGCAGCAGCCGAGCCAGGCGGACCTGTCGTCGCCGCGGGACTACGTGGGGCACGGCACGCACACGATGTCCACCGCGGGCGGCTCCTTCGTCCGGGGCGCCAGCGTGTTCGGCCACGGCAAGGGCACGGCCGCGGGCGGCTCGCCGGGCGCGCGCGTGGCCGCGTACAAGGCGTGCTACGAGCCGGGGTGCTCCAGCATCGACATCCTGGCGGCCATCGTCGCGGCGGTGGCGGACGGCGTGCACGTCCTCTCCCTCTCCCTCGGCGCGCCGCCTGGCGACTACCTCACGGACCTGACCGCGATCGGCGCGTTCTTCGCCGTCCAGAGCGGGGTCACCGTCGTCTGCTCCGCCGGCAACTCCGGCCCGCAGCCGAGCACGGCTACCAACCTTGCCCCCTGGATCTTCACGGTCGGCGCAAGCACCATGGACAGGGATTTCCCAGCATATGTCAGCTTCAATGGCGCCACCATCCAGGTATAGTATATATAATATACGTACGATTAGTGAGTGGATTGAATCATCGCGACATGCGGGCAAGCTAGATTTGCTCATCACGTACGTCGTCCCGGGTGCAATTGATTGACAGGGACAAAGTCTCGCAGACAGCACTCTGCCCATTGGTCAGCCGTATCAGATTATCAGCGGGGAGAAGGCCAACGCCGTGAACCAACCAACCGGCAACTGGTACGTACCCATGTGATTCTTCACAGCCTGCTGTTTGTTGTTCGGATCGACGTGTGTCGTATATATGAACGTCCTGCTGATCGATGAGGTTCCTCGTGCCTGCCTGCAGGTCGCTGTGCTTGCCCGGCTCTCTGGACCCTGACAAGGTGAAGGGCAAGATTGTGGTCTGCGTCAGAGGGGTGAACGCCAGAGTGGAGAAGGGGTTTGTGGTCAAACAGGCGGGCGGCGTCGGTATGGTCCTCTGCAACGACGCCAGCACCGGGGACACCGTCCTCGCCGACGCGCACGTCCTCGCGGCAGCTCACTGCGCCTATTAGCAGTGCGTCCGGCTCTTCACCTACCTCCAGTCTACCAAGTAAGCAAACCTGCTGCCCGGCCGCAGCGCGTTGGACTGAACCGACTGATCAGCATTTCCACTTCCACTGTAGCAATCCGTTGGGCTACATCAACGCAACAGACGAGAGTTTTGGCGTAAAACCTGCGCCGAAGATTGCAGCGTTCTCGTCCCGGGGGCCAAACGCCATAACTCCTCAGATCCTCAAGGTTAGCGCACATTGTTCAGCAACCAGATTGTCCCATCCTGTGACTAGCAGACTAGCAGTTGTGTCGCTGACATGTCGTTGGCAGCCCGACATCACAGCACCAGGTGTCAACGTAATCGCCGCGTACAGCGGCGCGGTCTCACCAACGGAGCTCCCGTTCGATGACCGGCGTGTCGCCTACAACATAATGTCCGGCACCTCCATGTCGTGCCCCCACGTCTCCGGCATCGTCGGCCTCCTCAAGACAAAGTACCCCTCTTGGAGCCCCGCCATGATCAAGTCGGCAATCATGACCACCGGTGAGCTACACCACCAACACTTTTGAAGCCATCTATATATGTTCTCTGGAGGAGCCTAACGCATGATCCGTCCCGTGTTTTGTATGCTGCACTGCAGCGAACACCATGGCCAACGACGGCAACCCGATCCAAGACGAGGCCGGCGCCGTCGCCACGCCGTTCGGGTACGGTTCAGGCCACGTGGACCCCGTCAGGCACTGACCCCGGGCTGGTGTACGACACCACGCTGGTCGACTACACCAACTTCCTCTGCTCACTGAAGCCCACGCAGACGACGCAAGACCCGATCCCGAGCCTCCCGGTCGACCTCCCTATGATGGGCAGCCTCTCCCCACCCGTCACCAGCCTCCTGCTCCCACTGTTCAACGCCGCCGGCGAGCCGTGCAAGTGCAGCCAGGGCCCCTACGGCCGCCCCGAGGACTTGAACTACCCGTCCATCGCCGTGCCGTGCCTGTCCGGCAGCGGCGCCACGGTGAAGCGCCGCCTGAAGAACGTCGGCGGCGCGCCCAGCAAGTACAAGGTTACGGTCACGGAGCCCGCGGGGGTCAAGGTCACGGTAGCGCCGAGCGAACTGGACTTCGTCTGGGTCGGAGAGGAGAAGGAGTTCACGGTGAAGCTGGACATGGACGTCAACGCCCCGGCGGCGGCTAATGACTACGTGTTCGGTAGTATTGTGTGGTCCGACGCGGACGGTGAAATTTTCTTATTTTGGTCTTTTTTGAAAACAATTTTTACAAAAATACCAACGCCAAAACATTTTCTGAAAATAGACTATTTTTAGGCGTCTTAGCACATGACGCCGAGATATGAGGCTCGGCGTCGTGTCACTCGACGCCGAGGTACTGCCACGTCACGGAAGACCGGGGTCGTCGTCGACACGTTGGCGCGTGGGTCCGAGACGTCGGCGTCGTGTCAGCCGTCGCCAAGTACCCAACCTCGGCGCGTTCAGACCGAGCGCCGAGCTCTGGCCCCATCCGGAGCGCGGCCCAGGCGGCCCAACAAAGCACGGTGGCCCAGCAGCTCGGCGTTGGGTCACTTAACGCCGAGCCTCCAGACCTCGGCGTGACCCGACTCAACGCCGAGGTCTGGACCCTTTAGGCCGCGCCGAGGCCCCTTCTTCTTGTTCCCTCCCCTCCTCCATTCCCCCATGGCTCCCAAATCCCCCACGGCCCCCACGAAACTCTAACCTCCAAAATCGACCCCCGGTGCCCAGATCTTGTCCTCCCGAAACTTCCTCGAGGTAATGGTCCCTCCCCTCCTCCATTCTATCCGCGTAGATGTGCTTACATTGTCCCTAATCATTTGAATCATGGTTGTTTGGTGATTTGGTATATTTGTGTTTGCATTTGCAAAATGTATGGCTTAGGATCATTGAGTGCATTGTTGTTTAACTGTTTTATGTGATGAACATGTTAGGTTAGTTTGGTTTCTAGTTATTTTGGTCATTAGGGTTATTTGTTTATTGTAGCTGTCATTAGGGTTAGTTATTTGTTGGTCATTAGGGTTACTATGTATTTTATTTATTTGTTGGTCATTACATTTCAATTTGTTATAATCAAGGCGTTTTGCCAAGGTACTCCTCTTTCCCCTCTTTCAATTCATTCATTTAGATTCGTTTGTTTTTTAACTTGGCATTATAGGTTTGGTTCATGTTCATGTCATTCGTGCAATGTATGGTGGTTCAAATGATTGAATGACCCAAATGTATGGTTGTTGGTGTTGTTGTTGTATATGTTATGGTTTATAATCATTGAGTTAAATTTTGTGTTTGTTGGGATTCAAATTTGTTTAGGGTTTGTAATGAAAAGCTTATTTGGGAGGTATGGTGATGTAGTGTTAGTACCTTTACATTCGTTGCAAGGTACTTTGGATTGATTTTTTTTCTACGTAATGTTAGGATGCCAAGGCGTGGTAAAGCTCGTATTCCAAGGTAATCCCAATGTTTATTCATTATCTGTGCAACAAATAGAAAATCCTAGGTTTAGGTTTGGTTCTCCGTTAATATGACTAAATTCTTTCAATTGTAGCTATGGTCACCAGAGGGCAAATCCCTACGACCTAAAGCCTCTCCCTGAAGGTGTTCCTCGACCAATGTGCTTTTGTCGTGATCCTTGCAAGGTAGACATCTCTGAAGATGAGGAAACATATAGACAGAGGTACTGGATGTGTCCCAATTATGCATGGGAACCTACAAAGCAACAGCGCCGTGCATCGTTTGTGAGGAATTTTTATTGTGTTAATTAATTTTCTTGTGATATTAAGTATTGCTTATTTATTTGTTTTGTAACAATTTATTTTTCTTGCAGACCGTTCCACTTTGTGTGACTTTGAGCAAAGTGGATTGACACTGAGATCAAGGAGTCTGGACAAGCAAAGGCGTCTAGAAGGCCTCAAGGAGTGGGATGCGGAGGTTAAGGAGAGGTTTGAGCAGAGACGCAGATGGAGGCTATAGAAAAGGAGCATAAGGAAGAGGAGGAAAGGAGGCGTGTTGCTGCGTGCATGTATGGAGAGGGAGAAGAAGCTTGAGCGTGCGCCGAAAGCGAAGGCAATGATGGAGGAGAATTCCGATGCCGAGAGGAAGGGAAAGTGGCCTCGTGCACACTCAAGAGGGTATTTGGTTCATTCACGAAGCGATGTCGTGTAGCCCTAGACTTTTTTTACTATGTTGTAATGCACTCGCTTTTATTTCGGATGAACTTATTCCCTGGACTTTTTTTATTATGTTGTAATACACTATGATTTTATTTCAGATGGTCTTATGCCCTGTACTTCGTTAACTATCCTAAGACCTGTAGTGGTATTGTTTGTATCCTTTGAAAAAGACTACTTGTGTTGTTGCGATCCATTGAAAGGACTACAAATCTTGCTTATTGCGATCCTTCGAAAGGGCTACAAGTCTATTTGAAAACTCACCGAAAAGCCTAGATTCGTTTCTTATCGTTGTATCCAGATACGCAATGAATTAATATCGAGTGATGTAATCGCATTTAGATGAAGTGACAACACAGGTGTAGCCTTTTCAGATGAAATGACCAGTCATGTTTGTAGGCTTTTCAGATGAAGCATCTAGCCTTTGCAGATTCAATAAATGAGTACGCACACATGTTTTTTGTCAAGTAGCATTCATGGTGAACCTGCCTTCATCTCTATATATAGTGCTCCATGTCTTGCTCCACATCCACACAAATTGTTTTCTGGTTTAGTTTTAGCAAATGTCGAGCGGAGGTTCCTCGAGTGGAAAGAGTTTCGGCGGAGGGAGAGGAAAGGGGGTGAGGAAGGGACCTCCGATTGTGTGGGAGGGTTCTCTGGGTCCTGATTCTTTTCAAGAACCAATAGAGGAATTTTCTTTGGAGAGGAAGAGTGACTTCACCCGTGAGAGACCTCTTAGATCATACGAGAAGCGCTTTGAAGATTGGCCAAAATGCCGCCACGGTTTGGATTGCGTTGTGCAGATGTACAACGACTGTGACGGTGGAGGCCGTCGTTTCTTCAGATGCCCGCGAGGATTTGTATTGCCTTTGAACTCTCTCCTTTTTTAGATTTGCATTTGGTTTATACTAGTACTTATTGGTAGATGGGTTTTCAGGATTCAAGCTGTCCAGATAACTGTGGCTTCACTAGATGGGTCGACCCTCCTCCTATCTATCCCCATCAATAGTACATCACATATCTACAGGGACGCATCTTTGACCTAGAGTATGGCCCTGGAAGTGGTAACAGGGACAAGTCGGACGACGACAACAGCAATGATGCAGAGGAGGCACTATGCAATAATCCGTACTGCGAGTGCCCGTACCATAAGAAGGACGGACCTCCTTCTCCACCGCCACCGCCACCACCACCGCCTCCATCAACTAGAGGATACTATGGGGAAGTCGCAACTCAGTTCAATATGTGGGAGCATTATTAGGACCAACATTTGTTAGTCAATCCGAATGTGGAATGCTTGTATGAGTTGTTCTTTTCAATCTCGTAAGGCATGCTAGGTTTAGTTTGCAACATGCCCTTGTTAGTTTTTATGTGAGTGTGTACCCTTTGCAATGTCTCAGATCACTTGTTTCTTTCAATCCCCTAAGGCATGCTAGGTTTAGTTTGCGACATGCCATTTGTTACTTTTGATGTGACTGTAATCGTTGTGTCTCCGCTATTTCATAAATTGCGGTTTACCTACCTCTAAGTTTCATGTACTATGGTTGATTCCTAAACTGAAAAAAAGATTTGAGTCTCTCTAAAAATAGGGGATTGAAATCGAACCAACAATCGGTTTTTTTCTCGCAGAACAAACATACAAACATAAATATAACTTGTCTAGATTCGTTAGTATAACTCGTGTTAGTCGAAGAGGTTGAGAAAGATTTTTCATTTGAATCATGCAAATAGGATCGCAACATATACCAAATGGTTTGGGTTTTGTTGGGCTGAGGCTCGGCGTTGAGTCGGCCCACGCCGACCCTAGGGTTTGGCTCGACTGCGTGTGTGAGGTGGGCTAAGGCTCGGCGTTGAGTCGTCCCACGCCGACCCTAGGGTTTGGCTCGGCCGTTTGCGAGTTAGGGCCGAGGCTCGGCGTCGAAGTCGCCCCACGCCAACCCTAGGGTTTGGCAACGCCGTGGGTGGCCGATTTGGGCGAACCTCGGCGCTAATCGTAACACGCCGAGGTTCAAGGCTCGGCGTCAATTTACCCCACGCCGAGCTTGGGCATCTCGGCGCTCGATGCAACGGTTTCAGTATGTACCAAAGCGTCGGCGTGAAACGACTAAACGCCGAGGTTGGGCACCTCGGCGCTTCGGTGAATTGTTTTTCAAGATGTACTGTGGGTCGGCGTCAAATGACTAAACGCCGAGCCCCTGGGTTCACCAAAATATACCTCTTCTTTGATTTGCTTCACTATTTCCCACTACTCTAATCAGCCGACGATGACCTTGTGCCAACAACGGACTGAGCTCGCTAGGCCCTTAATAGCCTGGAAACATGAAACATGGCGACGTTCCACACATTCACATAACACACACCATGACCACACCGATGCACACATTCATTCAACATCCGTACATACATAAGGTCCAACACATTCAACATCCAACATAGTCCATACATATGCTTCATCAATCAAAAAAAATAGTCCAAACATAGTACAAGGTCCAATGCATACATAGTCCATGCACAAAATAAAGCATATGAAGTCTTTGGATCTTTTATCGCTCCTTGTACCTTAACGTGGACGGCGAGCGTAACGCTTTCCCCTCCCAAACGGATAGGTACCTGGAGTGTACCTGTCCACTGGTCTGAGCGTCCTATGTGGACGTCCAGAACCGGAGGGGCCTTGAGTTCCTTGGGGTGCATCTCCAAGCTGGGACATGCCAATCTCATCATACTCATGATCATAGTACTCTCCCTGTCCTTCATCAACTTCATCATCATAATGACCATGTCCTTGACCACCCTCTGCAGTAGTTGCTGCACCATGTGAAGAAGAAGTCCTGCCACCATGTGCACCATGTGAAGATGAAGTCCCTCCAACATGTGCAGTAGAAGGTCCAGCACCAAGCTGTTGTGGGACTGCCACATCCGGGGAACGTCTACATCCAAGGCGTGCAGCTACCTTTCGTAGGCGATGCATGGCACGCTGCATTTTGAAAGCACTATTAGTAAGTGGGGTTCGTCGCAAAAGTATATAAAGATGTAACATCAACTGAATGAGAGAAGACTACCTGAATGTGCTGTCGTAACATGGAGGCCTCATCAGGATCGCCCACAGGAATCATCAATGCCCTTCCTTGGTCGGCCACTGTCCTCATTATCTCCATGCTCTATGCAACAAAAACAATAATTTAAGTCTCTATCACAGTAAAGACCTCAGAGATTGAAATAGTTGTATCACTTACAGCTCTGGCTAACGCAGGGGCGATCTCAACTTGCCTGCCTTCTCGGGTAGCTTGGTCATATGGGTTGTTGCCCTCATCCTCGCTCGCAATGTCAGCAATGTCTTGCTCCGTCCAAGCGGGCCTCAATTGAAGCCTTGTTCGTTGACCAAACCAAACAAGGTAATCATGGAATGCCTTGTCACGATGGACGGCGTGGATGCCCATGTTGTTCTGCTCCATCAACATCCACTCATCAATGTAGCGCTGGTGCTCCAGCTGCCAGTTGGTGATCTTCTTATTTTTTTGTCTGTTGAACCTGCAAATTTTACACCAAATCGGCAATATGAAGGCCTACTCAATGATTCTTTCATGTGAAACGAACAAAATATTGTATGTTACGTACTTGTGGAGCTACCAACCGGTGGAGAAATCATCGGGCGGAGAAGGTCTGCAACCTACCAAACTCGCTGTGCTACTACACGGTGAGGGAGATGGTACTCCACCACATAGAAACAAATAAGGGGGTCCTCATCGTCCGAGACGCCCTCGCCTCGCCATGCACAAGGCGCTCAAGTTGAGATCCGTTACTTGCCTCCGCCGATATGGGCTCCATTGAACCTGTACACAACGTCGTCATCAACTAGTCGACGCTCAATTTGTGCACATATCCTCGATTAGGGCAAAAGGGTGGGAAACTTACATCTTTGTGGCAAAAGGGTGTCCAGCTCGTTGGTGAAGCTGATGTACGCGTGGCGTGACACATGGTATGTTCCGTGGGCTCGCTCGTAGAGGTGTGCCACGGTAGGGGCAACAACTGCGTCTCCTTGAGGAAACCAAGGTTGTGGGGGATCAAGCTGATGCGGTCTCCCAACTAGAAGCCTCTCCCACATCCAAATCTGCAAAAAAAGAGTGGAAACATGAATGTTAATTACTTTTGTTAAGATAAAACATTGAATTGTAGTGGTAACTTATACAACTTTGCTTTTTATTACCTGCAGTCAGCATGTGATGCAACTGACATTGTAAGCGCGCGGCGCCTCCAGACGGCGGCAAGCCTCGCAAAGTCGACGGTGCACAGAAGGCAAGTATAGCCGAGCCCCAACTCCTATTGCCGGCATCCTCCCAGTTCAAAAAGGCACGGATGTACATCCAGGACGCCGTGTCTCCAAAGGCTGCTGTGGAAGAGAACCGTACCTAACATGTGGAGGACGAGGGTCCGACAAGTAGTATGTCACGGTCTCTCGGCGTCACGTTCGGTGGCACTCCGAAATCGGCGACGAAGCCACCTCAGGGACACCCCACTGCTGCGCCGTTTCTTGCCAGCCTCAACTGCCGCTAGGGGCCGTCCCAAGAAGTGCTCAACCCGCTGCTGCCATCCTTCGGACTCCGTGTCTCCTGTCACTGGGAATCCTCGGATTTTGACTCCAAGGATCATGGCAACGTCCTCGAGAGTGACCGTCATCTCCCCGCATGGTAGGTGAAAGCTGTGTGTCTCCAGACGCCACCGATCTATCAACGCCGTCAGCGCCGCTGGGTTGAAAGGTGGCGTGCCTCGACGATAAACATGAGCAACGGTAGCAAGGTTCGCCAGCTTCAGGAGGGGCGTGTACTCTCGTCGTAGACCATGGTCGTAGAGGCCTCATGTGTCATTGGCCTCAAAGACATTCAAAAACTCGCAAAAAAAACAAGCATGAAAAAGTATTAGTTCATGTCACTTTATAAAGAGCATGGACTATAGAGCAAAACATGAACAATGCAATGTTTTCATACGAATTGTTGAATATACCTCTCGTTCTCGATTCTCCGAGCCCGGTGGTGCTCATCGAACCTTGGATCAAGAAGGGGAACCGATCCATCCTGCAACATAAGCAATGTCAAACCATTAGTATAAGTTAAAGCATGTGTATGTGGTAGTAAGTAACATAAAAAATAAAAAAACAAAAGTAAACCAATGTACCATTACACAAAGCAATTCTAGTAGATAGCTTGATGGATACCGTTGTCTAAGCGATTCGGGACATTTTCTCTTATTGTGGCCCGGCTTATGGCAAGCGAACAGCAACGGCTCTTTGGGTGTCCTCTACAAAATGTCTCCCAACCTTACTCGTGGTTGATCTACCTTTCGTGGCTCGGTCCATGTCCATCCTGAACCGCGCCGCCGCCTAGGTCCTCTACTCTTCCAGAGTAAACCAAGATCACCACATACTTGGGGCCATCATAAGTAGGCCATTGACTCTCGTCAAGAAATGGCTCGAATCGAGGATTCTGTGTGCTCATTAGGTTCCTCAAAGAGAACTCCATGCCATACTGGGGAGGGACCTCGTGGTCAACACGTCTAAAAATGACAGTTTGTAATCATGTGGGAGCAAGGCCTATGGTATATGATCGGTTTTCCACACGCACACTTGTTCTCATTGATCACTACTTTATGTTTTCGAGCACCCCGGTCTTCACCACCAATGTTAGTTCCGCCACCCTCTAGAATCTCATATCCATAGTTGATCGGATCGAAACATGAACCCGTCTGTCGTTTAGACTTTTTCTTTGAGAAAGCTAGTTCCTGAGATGCTAAAAGTGGCCAAGCTTTGCCTGCTGTCCATAGAGACCTCGCATGCTTCTTCCTCAAAACGAACCAAGAATTCAACTTGTAGAAGGTGAATGAGGCAATAGCAGTCACAGGCAGACCACGACAACCTCTTAGAAGGCTGTTGAACATCTCTGCCATGTTACTAGTCATGAAGCCCCATCTCCAACCACTGTGTCATATGCAAGTGACCACTTATCCTTCGACGCCATCAACTCGCTCAAGAATTGCCTGCCATCAACATTTGTGGCTAACTTCAGGGCATCTAACTTGTCTTTGAATAATTGAACCTCTTGTTGCTTGCAAACCTCCTCAAATAATTTGAAGTTGTCCTTTGTGTGATCACGCCTTATAAGATTCTAGAGCAAGGTGTCGGTGCACCACCGGTGATGTATTTGGCCGTAACCAGAATCTCTTGTTCTACGGCATTCAGAATGCCAAGATGCCTATCGGATATCACACAAACATCACGCCCTGCACCAATTACCACTTGTCTTACTAGCCTAAGAAACCAACACCAACTATCCGTGTCCTCCTTCCGAACAATCGCAAAGGCCAATGGCACAAGCTGGTCCTCTCGTGATCCGTCCCAATACAAATAACCATTGTGCCTTCAAATTTCCTTGTAAGAAAGGTCCCATCAATTGAGATGACGGGCCCGCAATGCTTGAATGCTTCGATGCTCGCCTCAACGCCCAAAAAACGCCCTTCCAAATACTGGCTACCATTTCTTGTTTCACCCTCCTTAGGTAAATACTCAAGTGCATCCTGAATTTACGGCCCTCATTGCGTTCAACATTACGGAGGAGGCGCTCATAAGCTTCTTCCCAATTTCCAAATATTATTTCCAAATTGCACATTTGCTTTGCCCTCCATGCTTTCCCATACTTGACATAGTAATTGTACCGTTGGAAGATGATCTCAACCAACGCAGCATAATCGTAATGGTTGGCATATGCTTTCGCCACACGGGCATAATTGCCTTGCAATGAACCTAGAATTAAGTCTGCAGATGGTTCTCTTCGCGCTTTCAAAGAAAGGGCACAAACATGTGGTTGCTTCACCGAGGTAATCTTCCATTTGCCCGCCTTCGCCTTCCTAGCACATACTCTCCAACCACATCGTTGTTCTTCACAAGCAACAGTGTACCTCTTCTCCTTGAATGAATTGATGACCCTAAAAGGTCGGTTGTGTACAATGGAGTAATCTTGCAACCATGATTTCAACTCATCCATGGTAGCAAACAATATGCCCTTCCGTATGATGAGGCAACCGCTAACATCAGGCACAGTTGTATCACTTGGCCCACCATCAGCTACTGTCCTATGACCATGGCTAAGGTCCTCGAAATCACCAACTAGTGGATCTCTCCAAGGCAAGACCCTAGACAATATCTCTATTTCCCTTAAATTTAGACGACCAACAGGGTGATCGTCATCAGAGTCTTCGGCTATCTCCTCTACGAAGGACTCATCATCTCCAGCTATCTCCATGTCAAAACGGTTCGTAGCCCTAGCATCACCAAAGTCTTCTTCACTACTAAGATCATCTTCGTCGCTAAGCTCATCCTCAGTAGAAAAGTCTCCGCTAGCGTCGTCCAAACCTTCTTCTGCATCAACAATTACATAATCATCATCCTCTTCATCACTATCATGATTGCCCTCACCATCGGCAACCGGATTCTCTTCCTCATCTCCAACGTAGCCTAGTTGTGTGACAAGTATTTCTTCTTCAGGCAAAGGACCATAACCTATGTGAGCGGGGGAAGATGGCCATGCTTCGAAGTTGTCATTTCCTAAGCCGGACTCCTTACTTACTACTAAATCCAAAGATCGCACTTCTGAGGCCAATACAACTGCCTTGTAATCATTCCATTCAGACTCGTTTGTAATTTTGAGCAACCGCTTGATCCGAGGACCCTTCGACGACCCAACATCTATGACACCTTCAAACTGAACATGCACGTCTCCTTCATTCCAGCCTAACTTAACCTTCACTCGCTCCACTAACTGGGTCAAAGATGGTGTTTCAGAAAAAATCAACAACTCCTCACACATGTCCAGAAATTCCAAACTATCATCTCTTGTCCTAACAATACGGCCTCCATGATGCAACCTCACTAATTTATCCATCTACAGCCATCACACAACAAGTAGTGTAACATATGAATATATTTCAATCCAATAAGTAGAAACTAAAATATATCATTTCATCGTTTTTCAACCCCAACAACATAATCATTTCTAGTCATAACAAATTGAAATGTAATGACCAACAAATAAATAAAATACATAGTAACCCTAATGACCAACAAATAACTAACCCTAATGACACCTACAATAAACAAATAACCCTAATG